ATTAAAAATGTAAAGCAACAGTAGTACTCTTAAACATTTTATGCCACATTTTCTTCATGTGAACATCTTTGTTTATGGACCATTCTTCAATGGAAATCACTTGTGCTAAGAAATAATGGAATTTATTTACACAAAATCTCATTTGCATGGGAAAACTAAGTGGATTTTATGCATGTTCTTTTATGTTTTAATGCATAAATGACAGTGCACAAAAATTCAGCGTGTAGATGATTAGTTCATGCAAAGTTAATGTTCCTTTCAAGAGAGGTTGAGTACTGAGCTGTGCAAGTAACACATTTATCAGTTCTTTTGTCAAACTGAAAAAAAACCCCCAAACCTCTAGGCTTTAACCGAAGAGATTTTTTATTTTTTGGTTTCTTTGCCAAAATCCAGCCTTCTCATCTCCTCATCTCAGGTAAAAAAATTGGATTTTCCAAAATGTTACTGACATTTGGTTGCCCAGAAACATTTTTACTTATTAAACATGAGCAAAATCTGAAATGAAACATTGGTTTGAAACACTTGTTTTACAAAAGCAATATTTTTCTCTTTTGATTTTTCAACCTGGAAAAAACCCACTAAATATTTTAATTGGCTCAATTTTTTTTTTTTTTAATAATAAACTGTCTGTTACAAATCTTTGTCAGAAGAATGTATAAATTAAGCAACTTAGTCACAGAGTAACTTGGATATTGAAGTAATAAGCACTGTTTTGTCTTTCAGTCTGTTATATGGGCAGGTTCCTGCACTAAATTGTTTTATAGGCACCTCCTGAGGACAGCAAATTTTATCCTATATTAACAAATACTTTTTGGTACTGACTGAATGTAAAGTAGGAGGATGATTTTTAGAATTCCTATGCTAGACTAATGTATTTAATAGTGCAGATGGCTATCAGAAGACAAAACACTAAAGCCTTCCCCTGCTAATTGTTAATTCAGCTATAGATCAGGAAAGCTTTAATGTGAGTTATAGCTTTTATCTTCTTTGATGACTTAGGACTCTGTTTTCAAAATGTTACCTGCCTAATGGACACATATTTTACATCTTTAGCTGAATTTTTACCTGCACATGGTATTATCGAAATATTTTGTAAATTGGTTTCAGAAGCTCTCTGGCATCCTTTTAATTCAGCACATAAAACAAATATGCAGATCCAGAAGAAAAGATAGCTCATATTAGCCTTTTACTTCATGCTGTGTTACTTCCTGCATGCTTCTACTATATTGAGAGAGGCCTTTTGTGGTTTAAACTGAAAGTATTTTTTCCACTACGAATCTTTCTGACTGTAGGATTAATGCACTGGCCTCACACTTACCTAATCCCAAACTATAGAGATTACTGCAGTGTCTAAAGAGTAACTAGGTGACCACACATTCTTAAATCTAAATGCATTCTGTCTGAGGTCATGGTGGAAAAATCAACTGGTTTTCCTGTTCTGTGTGAATAAAAGCAAAACCCAGAGTTTATGATATTCACGCAAGCTTACCAGCAATCTTACAAATAAGCACAAAAGGAGAACCACATCAGAGCCTGCCATTAAAATTCTTTTTGCTTTTTCCACTTTTGCTGTTAATCTGGTTTTTTGCCTCTGCTACTGATGTTCCTCTCAAGTTTGGCAAGATGCAGTTATGTGGGTATCCATTCTTACTGGTCTCACTGTAAAATTTAAGGCAATGCTGGGAATCTTACAGACATCTGTAGAAAATGGATCGTTACCCAGTTACATATCTCAAAAAATGAGATAAGAATATATTTAGTACATATGGAATGCTGTGTTAGAGGTGGAGCTTGCCAGAATGGCATCAGTGTGGAATGTATCTGCTTGCCATATATCTCTCATATAGGGGGGACAGAACGGGAGAAGAATTTGAAATTTCCATAGGAAGTCAAAATTGCGGGTTTGATTCTGATTGCTAACCTCTTCTTTACTGATGTACTGGAAGGTAGAGAGGGAGTTTTGATTTATTCAGGTATTAGTTCATATTTAAGTGAATTAGATTTATTTTTTCCAAAATAAAGAGCTCTCCCCAATTATAGGTAGTAAACAATTTCTTACAGGCAGTCCTGGTGTTGGTAGGTTTTGATTCGAAGGATTGGGCTAATGCCTTCAAAGTTAGTCTCAGGACTTCCTGGGGGTATAGAGCTCCATGGAAAGGACGAGAATGTTTGTGGGACAAGTGGACAAATGAACACCAGAGGCTTGTAGCCAAAGTAAGAAGGAGGGGATGGAGAAGAAGAGGAGAGGTAGCTTCTAAAGGAGTAAATAGTAAATAGATACTTTGGATGTGGCTTGGATCTGTATGGAAAAATGAGATGACATGGTTAAATAGGATTATTGTACTGAGGACCTGAATAGCTAGAAGAATGATATCTTGGGGTAAGGGCAATCTTTTTTATTATATAGCAGCAATCGCAGTTGGTACCTGTCCCAGATGAGGGCTCCAAGACAGTGTAAGAAAAGGACTACAGAACAGGACTAATAATTTGCATCTGTTGGCGAGGGAGGAACAGATGTGGAAATACAGAGAAAATGGAGGGTTCAGGTTTGCCTATGTTAGTTTTGTTTAGATTGAAGTACCGGTGGGTAGCTCATTTTGTACATCAACTTTAGTCTTCAGTTGTTGATGTGCAAGACTATGTGGACGCTTTCACTTTAGAGTAAGTGCCCAATATAATTTTGTTGTGTGTTGGTAAGCATTTGATAGAAATTATGCAAAGATTGTGTGAAGAACCAGGAGGTAAACCTTTTTTGTAGAAGCTTGTATAGTGACTATGAGACCATTTTTTTTCCCTTAAAAAAAAAAAAAGGAAAAGCTTGAGGTAAAAAAAAAAAGTAGGAGGGAAAAAAAAGCTGGAGAAATTCTTATTTGTATTAGTATGTGTCATTGCTTTCTTTTAAAAAAGTAGCTATTGCATTGATTTATATAGTTTCCATTTCTCCATATATTACAGTTTTAGTGTAATCCTTCTCAGCTTTGTAAATCACATCAAGATGTGTGAATACCCATGACTCCTGAACATATGAGTTCATGAGTTGGCCTTGTCCTAAGGTATAAAGTGAATGTGTTGCACTTGACTGTTGAAAGTAACTGGTATCAAAACTGGTAGCAAGCCTGTTCTTTCTATTTGTACCCTGTGGTCATCCCTATTTTTCTCATTAGGGATTTTGGTTTTGTTTTTCTGTTGAAGAATTTTACAATGAACCTGAGCGTTGGGAAGTGTGGAGAATCAACTTGCTTGTCTTCAGTGGAGCTTTGTTTAGTGACATTAATGGATGTTTTGACCCTAAACAACTGTAATGATCATATATACAGTGCAATTCATTTGGAGATGTGACTTGAGTGTATATAGGTGGAGGGGATATCTTTCTTTTTACTTTATGGTTGAGGACTGATAGGGTGAGTGAACTGAGTTGCTAAAGACTCTGGCAAGCCCACGTGCACAGCAGAGCTAAAGCAGCGGTCTACTTAACTTCTCCCTGTACGCTGCCTATGTGCCACAATATCCTCTTTAATAGTCTAAGTACAGACTGTGTGTTGAATTGTAGCAATTACCTCTGTGATCAAAATGTTAAGCTCCTCCTGCCCCAAATGAAGATCTTTGCGGACAAAATTGCTTGTCTGTCTTTCCTTTGTTTTTCTAACGAAGAAGGCATCAGCTGTTACTATTTTGAGAGCAGATAAATATATTTTTATGTAATGAATTCTCTCATACAAGCTATAGGAGTTCCAGAGGAAAATGCATGCATATACACAGCGACCTCTGGATTTTAGTTTGCTGCCCACCAAATTCCAAAGTTTTTGTGGAATGTCAGATGGGTATACTTTCTTAAGCAGTGTCTTGCATTCTGTTTACTTCTATAAAGACTCTTGGGAAGTAAAATACCACTAAGAGTGTGTTAGATTATCAGAAATTGATTCTGAAATAGCTGCTTCATAATAGTACAAGGAGCAAGGAATGCTTAGGAGCTAAAATGATGGTAAACTCCGTATCAGTTTTAATGAAAGGGTTATAAACCTCTAATTTATAGTCTATTGGTATTATGTTATCACAATGTTTTCACATTAGAATTGTAATTAGTTATATTAGAGATTTAGGTAATTTTAAAATGTGCAATACCATTACTTCTCAGATATTTAGGATTATAATGATTTTCTTTTTAAAAAAGAAAGTAGCTATATTTACAGATATAGCTATGTATTAAAGGTGAGTGCATGGATGTATGTATAATTTTGCTATTGTGACATTTGTCTGTATTTCCTTCCATTGAGTATGTGAATGGCTTGAATGTGTATCTCAGCAAATGCAAAGGAGGTAAAAAAATTGTTCATCTTGGTAGATTTATATTATTTTAATTTAAGCTTCAGTTCCATTACTTTTTGATTAAACATACTTCTGTCTGATGCTATCCATCTTTTATCACTATGAAATCTGCTCCCAAGCAGAAAGAAGGATGGCATCTGAATTATGCAGAAATCATTTTCTATCTATTTTTCTTCAAACGCTGGGCAGTCTTTTTCGTAATCCCACCAATATCGCATGTGGCTTGCTCTAATCCTGTGCCTATTTCTGAATATTCAACTGTCAAACCTTGGTCTTTTGCAATTTGTTTTCATGGCAGTGTATTGTCCTGGATGTCACTTGCTTCAGATGTAGCTCAAACTCCCGATTCAAGGGTGGAGAACACTGAGTTATCATTAGCTCCAAAAAGCTTTGCACTATCAATTCTTAAAGTGGTCTTGTAGTTCGTACATTTCTAAGTATAACTTTAAAAATAAGCAAAAAAAATCACCATGCTTTGTCGATTGAATCACCATGAATTTTATCAAATAGCTTGGACCACAAATCAGTCACAAGTTTGGTAGTGATATAGGTAAATACCATAAATAAGATTTCATTCATCATGATACACTGACCTGTTTGGGTATGTTGTTGATGTGGTTTATTATTTATATAATGTGATTCACAAAAATATAATTGGTAACATACAATGCGAAATGTACTTCTTGAGTTCGAGTGAGTGAAAAACAGTGTCTTCTGCAGTAAATGGAATGAAATTTCACTGTTAAATAGAGGTGATCATCACCCACTTCCCTGGCGAGCAAAAACTATTGAGCACTGTTGTATACAATTCACTGCATTATAGTTACAGACATTGGTTGTATCCTGAAGCCAAGTATCTCCTGTGTTACTAACCTTTGTAGATACTAACAGTCCGTCTGGGCGGAGAACCCCATGCACACAAAGCCTGCCCTGCTGATAGAGGAGCACGGAATTGGACTTCTAAACTACTGTCTTCCTTGGGTCAGCTAGTGAGTGTTCTGGTGTGTTAGTTTCATGCCAGCTTGGAGAGTAGGACATAGAACAGGAGAAGGGGGGGG